TAATGGAGACATTGTTCCCCTCAGAAGCATGCATCTTCAGGAATGGGCCACATTGCAATCTGCGAGGCTACATCAAAACCACCCCTCTTTTCCCAAGTCTACCTCTTGCTTCTGGCCTTTACTTTCTTCTCATAACTTGAATTTCTTCTATATATGTCCCTGGGCACCTTTTGCCAGTGAGTCCCTTCTTTGAAAAACCTATCCCCCGCTGGTTCAGTATATATAGATATGCTCAAATTTGCATTGACCCTTTTTTGCAACTCTTTACTATAAAATGGATCCTTCAGTTCTGACACTGATATCATAGACATCAATAACTTCCCTTGTCAAATTTTTGAGGTTGAATAGAAAATGACGTTTTGTTTTATATATTTTTTTATTTATGCCCTTGTTGTTAAAATACTTTTTCCTTTCTGAGTTTGGCTGCATTTTTTTTTTTGAGACAGGGTCTCACTCTGTTGCCCAGGCTGAAGTACAGTGACATAATCACAGCTCACTGCAGCCTTGAACTCCTGGGCTCAAATGATCCTCCTGCCTTAGTTTCCCATTGAGATTACAGGTGTGAGCCACCATGCCCAGCCTTCACTACATTTTGAGAACAAAAGTAGGTTAACTATCCAATCCCCAATCATATATTTCTCTTTTGAATTATAACTTAAAACAATTAGGCTTCAGAAGAAAGTAGGAGAATAAATTTCATATTTACTAAAATTAATTCTTAATTTATTATTTCCAAAAGACTTATTTCAGAGATTGTCAGGAATCCTCAGGAAAGGAGGTTCTGTAAATTTTTGTTTGTTTGATTTTGAGACAGACTTTTTGTCACTCGGTCTGGAGTGCAGTGGCATCATCACAGCTCTCTGCAGCCTGGACTTCCTGAACTCAAGCAATCCTCCCATCTCAGCCTCCCAAGTAGCTGGGACTATAGGCCTGCACCACCATGCCCACCCAATTGTCTGTTTTTTATAGAGATGAGGTCTCATTGTGCTGCCAAGGATGGTCTTGCACTCCTGGATTCAAGCTATCCTCCTGCCTCAGGCTCCAAGAAAAATAAGAAATGTACATTAGTTAACTTGTGCTTAACTATCTGATTTATCTATGGATATTAAAATGGCAAGCAGCCAATTATAATCTAGGATGAAACTCTATCCCCTCTTTATTGTGAAAATAGAGGAAGCCAGCTAACCCTGCATGACATAAAATGTTTGTATTTGGTGTAAGCTTTGGTGAGATTTACTAGAATACTTTGGCCTGGTTACTGTCAACACATGTATAATGAGGTCACCTTTGTTGAATATGTTGAGTTGCTGTGCTATTGCTGCATTCCCAGGCTTTCATGTGAGGACAAAGAAGGAAGATTTATACTCTTGGTGATAATTGGCTCTTGGCAAAGCCCAAGTCAGTCGAAGTCTCACTGCATCTAACAGAGAACTGGAAATGTATACATTAATGAAGCAACCTGTGACGTTCTGCACCAGACTTCACCATTGCCATGCTCTTCTCTTTCACACCCTATGCCTATTTAACACAGTGTTCCCAGTCCCTGGGAACTACTTTGCCTTCCGCTTGCTGTAGTGAATTCCAGGTAGTCCTCCAAGATCCAGATTAATTGCCACCTCGTCTGTGAAACCTTTGAACTGAGATTTACCCTCTTCTCAATACTGAGCTCAAGGCTATTTTTACCACTCTTTATTTTAATGCTTACACATTTTGATGCCATTTTTTAAGTAAAATTACAATAATGGAAATGAAAAGAGAGCAGGGAGAGTTTAGTTTTGCTTATCTGCAGTATCCCCAGGACCTTAAAAAATGCCTGGTAAAAAGGAGCTGTATAAACATTTGTTGAATGAACCATTTTCTTAGTATGTATAGTTACATGAGCATGGTTGGGAGCAGGGAAACAAGATGAACTAAATGTAGTTCTTGTTATCCATATGATCCAGTTGAGCTATGAGGACAGACATCAAAAGTTATAGGCACTGGGACTGCAAAGAAGAAATAGATGTTCAATAAGACAGAATACTTGCATAAAATTTTTATGAGCTATTTAGATATCATATGCCAAGTGTGAAATGACAGAGATTTGAGTTGTAAAAAATATTAAGAGAAAAAGTATAGAGAATTGAGATTGTCCAGATTTATCAAAAGAGGCAAGGTATAAAGGGAAGAATTTAAGTAGCAGAAAGGAGATTTAGTCCTTTCGAGCATTAGGTATTTTAAGAGGAGATTTGATATCAATGGAATGAAGGGATGGTGATAATGAAGGATGTGCTTTTTAAGGAAAAAATGGGCAGATTATTTATGAATAGAAATTCTGGACAATAAAGTTGAGAAGATGAGCCAAACCTAGACTCAGAGTGGGTGACATTGTGCAAGAAAGACGTTTAGCCTTCATGAGTTTCAGTTTACAAATTTACTTATTTGTAATTTGTTAATGATAGCTAGGTTTTGTTGTTTCACAGAATTGTTGTGGCACTCAAATGAGTCAGGATGATTCTGACATAGACAGGCAGACGTAAGCATTAAGAAACAGTCGGATCCAAGTTGAAATAAACATAATTTAAGTAGAGGAAAAATACTGGAAGGAAATACATCTGAATTAACTGCACTTGCAGTAGAATGAAAGGATTATGAATGATTTTTTCCTCTAGTTTTCTCTATATTCCAAATCATCACTGAAGAACATATAATAATTAAAATGCATTTTATTCAACAAATGTTAACCTAGGTGCTGAGAAAATAAGAGTGAATACAAGAAACAAGGTTTGATTTCTCAAGGAGCTTACATTTTGGTAGGCAGAGACAGACACAAACTAATGTGGATATATAAGATAATTTTGGATAATAGTACTCCAGTAGTGATACAGTGATGAAGAAGTGTGTTGCTGCTACACAGATGGGCCAGGGAGAGCAAAGACCTATTTGAGCAAAGTCCTACATGCCGTGTTGGGGGAGGATGTTATAGGCAATGGAACAGGCAGCTGCAAAGCACAGAAGCAGAATAAGCTGCATGTGTCCAAAACACAGAAGGAAAGTGAGTGTGGCTGGAACACAGGGAGGAAGGAGGAGGGTGGTGAGCAGTGAGGTCAGAAAGATACACCAGGGCTCAATCATGAAGGACCTTTGAAACCACGGTGAGGAAATTGGACTTTATTCTCAGTTCAATGGCAAGACATAATTTGTTAATATACATATACACGTATCTAGTAACACATGTATGCCTATATATGTGATAAAAGTTGAACTGCTGAAGGATAAAATGAACTCCATCATGATTTCTTGTGATTACGTGTTCTGCCTAGGTCTAACGAATGGGAGAAAATGAGGTTGTTGTATGTATAGTCACATATGTCCTTTCTGGCATTAGGTATTTTAAAAGTGGAAGCAGTTGGGCATCATCTCCCCACACTAGTATGTTCCATGATTGATAACGTATTCAAATAGCATTTATTGAGCTCTGCACAATGGAGTGAAGATAAATTGTTGATTGAAAACATCAGTTTTCTGAATGACAATTCTGGCTCTCTGTTTAATTTGCTATGTTACTGTCTTTTGTATTCTTTTATTATTCAAAAATAAAAAGGAGCAATGTGCATATGAAAAATAGATGTTAAGGAGAAATTTGCAGATGTTAAGCTTTGTAGATTTTGCTGCAGAATATTTCAAAATGAGTATTTGTATTTCTCTTCATGGCAGCACATTATTACTAAGAAATAAAGAGCTGAACTTCTTTATGGACAAATCTCTGGTAGAGTGATTTTGGCACCTAGAGAGGCACATTAACTACTTGAGTCCCCAGTGCTTTCTCATTGACTTCATTATCCTTGTGGAGCACTCTACAGCATCTGCTCCCAGAAATGCAGAGGTACAACGGAAGAGCAAGCCTTTTGCTTCTGGCCTTTCAGTGCCTAAAGCAACAGACATGAAATACTGTGCACTTGCAATGCTGCCTAGGAAGTAGGACATTTCTTTGCGAAAGCACGTGTTACTAGAACTTTGATGTCAGTTTTAAAGAGTCCATTCTGTCTTCAGTGTCTGAAAAGGTAAATATTGATCTTAAGCAATATGAAGCATATTCCCATCTCCAGCAAGAGCATTAATATCTACACAACCTTCTTCCTGTAGGATGAAGAGCTAGCAGCATGAATGCTGTCAGTGCCAGACAGAAAATCATGATTAGCCTTATTTTTCTCCTTCGTTCCCATTCCATCAGAAATAAGAGCTTTCAAAAAAAAGAGTGTATCAAGGCATTATCTGCCGTGGTCTATGTTCTGTTTTTTGAACTCATTAGCATTCCTCAATCATTCAGTAAGAAGCATCGAAAATAAAACCACTTTTGACAGTTCCCACTGGAATAAAAAAGATACGATACCAATCCTTACATTTTCATCCTCAAAAATGATAATGATCCCTTCTGAAAGAAAATGGTACAATTTTCAAGGAGCTGTGATTTTTTTCTGTCTCCTTTGATGTAGTCATCAATGCCTTTTCAACGGAGGTTTCCTATAGAGTCCATGTCAAGATACTCACGGTGATTCAGAAGAAATAGCTGATACCCTTCAGACCCTGCTCTTGGGTGGTTTAGAGTCTTGTGGTTTAGGAAAGACAAATAGAACTCAAATTACTTGAGGATACTTAGAGGTAATTTAATGGTTTTAAGTCTTGTGTTCAAATTTTACTTTCATCCTTACCTCCTTCCAGCTGTGAGATACACTTATCCCCTGGAACCTCAAAATTCTCTGCAAAACAAAGATAATGTTAGTAACTATCTCCTAGGTTTCCATGAAGATTGATAAGTTAATGAATCATGCATGTAAAGTATTTAGCTTGGTGCCAGACCTCCAAATAAGTACTTAAAAAGCAGTACTTTTACTTGGTAAAGGTTGATAAGTGATAATTATTAGGTCCAGCAAGTTTTCTTCAAAGTGGCCTTTGAGAATTATATGATGCACTTATATTCATAAATTGTAAATATGTACTGTTTCATATTTTCTTAACAGGCATTTTAAATTGTTGCTTGGCATACAATGTTGGTCTCCCAGAAGCAAAAATATTTTCCGGTCCTTCAAGTGAACAGTTTGGCTACGCGGTGCAGCAGTTTATAAATCCAAAAGGCAACTGGTAAGAATATTCTCTTCTTTATGGTTTCAGTAAAAATACAAAGTAAATTTCGTATTTGACTTCAATTGCTTTTTCAAATTGGTGCCTGACTGTACTATAAATGGGAAGCCCTCAAATATCCTTAAATGAACTATTTTTCTTTGAGAGTTGACAATGCAGGCTGATCATTAATGGGATGGTATAATGGTTCATTTTTAAAAACCTGGATAGAAAATTTTCTCCAACTATTCAAAAGCAAATTTATAATACCAGTTTTGACCACTTAATACATAGGTAGGTGGACTGATAGATAAAATGATAGATTTGTGTTCATTTCTTATCATGTAAACTGACATTCATTGAACTTTGTAAATCATCACCTAGTTATTAATGCTATCTCTGTGTCATTTCTAAACAGTAGAATTGTTACCTAATATCTTTCTTTAGCAAGGTTTTGTCTACTTGCTTCATTCTAAAGTTAGCCTTCTCCCTTCCATGTGGTAAAGGGTCCTCACAAACATCAACGCAAAATGTACAGTGGTGACTTTCTCTAGCATATTAACACCTTTCATTTTTGCCCCAAAGTGCCCCCAGTCTTTTCATGCTATGTGATGGTTACATTTTCAAACCATGGCTGTTCTACCCAGGTGAAAAACAACCACCTCGATGGCGATGGAAATATAGTTTCACATAATAATAATGCAAACGAACCCTGAGAGAGGAGGTGATTGGAAAGGTGTATTGGGAAGACGAGCTGTAGCTCCTGTTCTGCCAGAGTTAATGTGCACTTGTGGACAGGAGTCCTGCCATGGGGACCTCATCTCCCTGTTGTAGCAGCAGGCTCCAGACCATCCCCACTCACCCTAGAACTTCAGATTCTGAATCGGCTTTCTAGAGCTCTTTTCAAAGCTTAAATAAGCTGTTGGCTTATCAAATAAGAACTGTCATGTATGGCCAAGTGCAGTGGCTCACACTTGTAATCCCAGCACTTTGGGAAACTGAGATGGGAGGATGGCTTGAGCCCAGGAGTTTGAGGCCGCGTTGAGCTATGTCGGCAAAACCTGAGTGACAGAGTGAGATCCTGTCTCAAAAAAAAAAAAGGAAAAACCGTAATGTAATTCATAACCCTTTTTTCTGTGTGAACTTCTGTTTGATACTCTAAACAATTGAATTCAAATAAAGGTTCAGGATCACATGTTGGGGCAGATCTGTCTGTTTGATGAGGAAACAAAATGAAATCATCCCCTGAGAGGGTGGCATTTCTCATGAGACATCTTGGAGGATGTGAATCGTGAGCTGGGTTTTAAGCAGCGGGGATGAAGAGGCTGGAGGTGATACTAACTAATGTGAGGAGACCTCGAAAGCAATGCAGGTAGAGACAGTTTGTCAATCATCTTGGAAGGATAGAACATGTGGTTGGAAACACCAAAGATTAGCAATTACTGTAACCATTTGGGATACGAGAGAGAGTTGCATTTCTAACAATTATCAGATGATGCTTTGATAATCATAAAGTGATAAGGATGCTAAAAAGATGATATGGTCGGTATATTTTGACCTTGGAATCTAGCAGATGAAGTAGCTGTGATCCACAGTTCAGCCGTAATTATTTTCCTCAGACTGCTATATGAAACAATCCATTCAACATCTCCACTTTAATGCCTCATAGACATTCCAAACTTAATGGAGAGAACACAGTATCTGATTTTTTGCACAAGCTAATGAGGCCAAAGATCTTTGACTCGTCTTCTTCCTCCTCTCCTATATCTTAACCATGAGCCAGTCCTGTTAATCCTATCACCAAAATACTGATTATACCTGGCCGTTTCTCATGGTCTCTCCTGCTGCCACCCTGATGGAAGCCAACACAGCTCTTACAGACACCTCTGCAGCAGCTTCTTGACCTGCCTTCGACTTCCCTTCCTGCTAGCTTTATTCTGTTCTCTGCTCCAGCCAGTGTGAACTGTTAAAAACACAGCTAGCTGGGAACGGTGGCTCATGTCTGTAGTCCCAGCACTTTGGGAGGCTGAAGCAAGTGGATCACTTGAGGCCAGAAGTTCAAGACCAGCCTGGTCAATGTGCCGAAACCCCATCTCTACTAAAAATACAAAAGTTAGCCGGCTGTGGTGGTGGGCACCTGTAATCCCAGCTACTTGGAAGGCTAAGGCACGAGAATCGCTTGAACCTGGGAGGCAGAGGTTGCAGTGAGCCAAGATCATGCCACTGCACTCCAGTCTGGGTGACAGAGCAAGACTCCATCTCAAAAAACAAACAAACCACAGCTCACTCCCTAGATTAAAATTCCTTGAAGGGTGCTCTGTAATTGGGTGTCAACCTATTTCTCCTATTACCATCTTTTACCCCTTCTCCTTTGCTTTCTATGATCCATAAACTATGTCTTTTGTCTGTTCCTTGAACATATCTAGCTCATTCCTGCTTCAAAGCTTTTGTACATTCTTTTCTCCTGCCTGGAAGAGTCTTCCCCAAGATCATCACGTATATGATTGGTTTTCATCTCTCAGTCTCAGCTCAAATGTCTCCTCCTCATAGACCTTTCAGAACAGCCTTGTCTATATAGCACTCGACTGCTCTCTGAGTCACTCTAGCATTACAGATAGATTTATTTCCTAACAGTACTATCTTAAATGGTCTATACTTGTTTATATGCTCATTATCTGTCTCCTGCCACTGTCTCTGAGTTCAGGGACACTGTTGTGTTGACTGCTGTGTTCTCAGCACCCAGAGTGATACCTGGCACAGAGTAAGGGATCAATAATTATTTGTTAAATGCTAAATGGAAGTCCTAATTCTAAATGATTTATCTCATGTGCTATACAAAGTGAACTACAGTAGACTGACTTAGGAAGTGTGCGCTGAAAGGGAGCTTCAGAGGAACTCCACTGTTCTGCTTCATAGACATGGCCTAGCTGAGGACATCTGGCACTGAGTTTGAAGTGAATCTTTTAAGTAACAACTTTCCTGGGCAGAGTAAATCTAATAGAAAGAGCCACCATCAGTAATAGATATTATTGAAGGTGATGAGCCTTTCAAGGATTGTAAGGGAACTCAACCGCTGGCCACATTGCAGGTTGGAAGTTAAACAAGACCAAAAGGGCACAGAGTCGAGAGGATCCCACCAGGAAGAGTCCTGGGAATGAGAGAGGCAACCATATGTCTTTTCTCTATCCAGGATTCTCTCTAAGTATCCAAGACATTGTTAAAAAACAAGTCTATTTGCAGTTTATGGTGAGATACTAGTGCTGGTAGGAACAGGGACACTGGACATTTCTAAATCCTGCCTTAACCTTCTCATGACATCCCTGAAAGAGGTACCAACACAGGACAATAGGTCTGTGAAGCAAGGCACCAGTTTATTATTGGCTGGGCTGGTGCTTTGAACTCCAGTATTGAGCTTTCTAGCGAGGTGTAGCACTGAGTGTAGGCTCAAGGCCTAACTCTACCAGATGTTACAAGCAAACCCCACCATGCAAGAGGAAGAGGCAGCACCTGTCTGACATGATGGGCTGAACCATATGGAAGTGAGAATAGGGATGACAGAGAACAAAAATTGTCCAGTCCAGTCTGTCTGGGTCCTTTCATTGATCTGGTCTTATGAAGCGAAGAAACAAGAGAGACAAAACCATGGGCATGATCTTCTAAACTGTGTGAGGTGCAGAAAGTGCAAAGCATAGTTGTTGGCCTTCAGGAGTGTGCAGCAGAGTCAATGAGGGAAGATTTACATGCAGAATAGGCAACTTTGAATCGTACAGAAGACATCACTCAATGTAAACCCCTTGAGTTCATAGTATTTGTTTTCTTTTAGTGTCACTAGCTATAATAAGTTAATATCGAGAGCTCATCTTTTCCCCAAGGACTGGATCATTAGAGAGACAAGGTTTTCTCATGCCTTCTGTCATTTGCCCAACCCTGCCAAGGTACCTCGCCACCGAGGGCAGGGCTGTGGCCAGGATCCAGGTGGGTAGGTTATCCCGTGACAGTGCTAGAGTGGGCCACATTAGGACAAGCAGTCTTCATGACCCTCAAGCTCAAGGAAAATCATATGAAACTTGGAACCCAGCATTGCCTGTTTGTTTTGACGATGGGCCCTGTGCCCTTCTCTACTCCTAATTTATGACAATTGCATAGGCATTATGGAAGTAGCAGATGTGGGAAGGACTGTTTAAACATTAACTTTCCTTCTGATACTAATCAAGTTAGCTTTGGGCACAGAAAGTGGAATGACCGTGAATTCCCTTAACAAATCATTGAGTCCTTTTTCCATGGATTTATCATATAGTATGATAATGTGCACATGTGTGCACACCACACACACACCACACACACACACACACACACACACACAACTTTGTTTTCTTTATTCCCCTACTGCTTATTCTAAAGCTGTCATTTTGGTACCTTCCTTTCTTTCTTTCTTTCTTTCTTTCTTTCTTTCTTTCTTTCTTTCTTTCTCTCTTTCTTTCTTTCTTTCTCTCTTTCTTTTTTCTTTCTTTCTCTCTCTCTCTTCCTTCCTTCTTTCTTTCTTTCTTTTCTTTCTTTTTTCTTCTTTCTTTCTTTCTCTCTTTCTCTCTTTCTCTCTCTCTCTCTCTTTCTCTCTCTCTCTTTCTCTCTCTCTCTCTTTCTCTCTCTCTCTCTCTCTCTTTCTTTCTTTCTTTTCTTTCTTTCCTATAAAATGATGGGGTTTCACCATGTTGGTCAGGCTGGTCTTGAACGCCCAACCTCAGGTGATCCGCCCGCCTTGGCCTCCAAAGTGTTTGGATTACAGGCATGAGCCACCATGCCCGGCCTTAGTATCTTTTTCTTCTGCTTACTTTGACTTGCTTTATAATCTGTCTATCTAAGCCCTGCCTTCACATCTTTCCCTCAGACAACTCATTGAAGGCTCCAGTCTGAGTATCCTTAAATCACACTCTGTTGTTTTTAAAGTACAATTTTAGCTCTTTCATGTGAGCCATGTTTCTAAGAATTTATAGGCATATTTACACCAGGATCTACCAGATTTT